TTAATTTTTATTTATATAAATATATTATGTAAAATATATACGTAATTAAAGGGTTTGGCTCAGCTTTTAAGTTTTCCTGAAGAATAGATCAACAGTCGATTAATGGCGGTCACCTGCTCCTAGTGAATATAACAGTTTGATAAATGGCAGTCATCCGGTAACCTGAGCATATTTAATAAAACTTATAATTAATAAAACTTATAAGTAATTTAATTTTTTTAATATTATTTATATTTCATAAATTTAAATTTTTTTAAAAAAAATTTATATTTTTTAATTTTTTTAATATTATTTATATTTTATAAATTTAAATTTTTTTAAAAAAAAATTTATATTTTTAAATTTTTTAAATATTAAAAAAACCTTAAATAGGATAATTGCATAAAACCAGGATATCGCTTCTGTTCATTGATCCCACAGCTATAAAATCAATGACTAACCAAATAATTTCATTGAAACAAAATAAAAATTGAGGGCTTATGGAGACAACGATCTTGACATTTCAATATCCCAGTGAGGAATTAAACCCTAATAAATAGGATACAGACCAAGTCAACCAGGATACAAGAGTGAATGCACTTAAACCTTAATTCAGCTTTATTTTTTGCGCAACTGCAGAAGAGGGTCAAGATTCCCGACCAGGCAAGGCGCCATGTTGACTGATGCCATTGCCAGTCTGCTTTTGCATGATATCAAGGCCTAACTGATCTTGTACATGCTCCAGGGTAGATGTTGTGCCAGTGCTATTCTTGGCTCCAACATCAATTTGTGGATTCACAATAGGTGGAATGATGTTGTTGCTTGGGAAACTGTTATCTAGTATCTGATGATGAACTGCAGTGGCAATAGCAGGAACTGGTTGGTGGAGAAAAGGGTTTGCGTTTGGCTGCATTGGTATGGCAGCACCTGCAGTTGCTTCCAGTGGGCTGTTGATAAAAGGCATGCCAGCATTGGGTACATTTGGTCTAGATAGAAGCTGGGGGTTGATCCCTGTTACCCGCTTAACTGTTTCTTCAGCCAGCTTAACCTGAAGTATTCAAATCATACAGCAAGCTATTAACTGAATATGAAAACTGCATCAATGAAATGGCAACAGTGATCTATGGAAAGAAGCAAAATAATCAAAGGCTCTACTGATATAGGCATAAACCTCCCATGTAATGCGACAGTAATCACCACAACTTAAGATGCCCTTATCCCCTTTACAAATTTAGAATTATCTATGAAAGGGTGCAAAATGGGAGTACATGGAGCATAATGAAAATGCAACTTGGTTGATTGTTGATATCCAACAACTAATATCCATTCACAAAAGATAATGCTTGCTAATGTATATAATGCATGTTTAGAGTCAGCAGAACAACTGGACTGATTGAGAACGTGCAGCATTCAGGGAATCTGGTAGATGAAATTACCTATCTGTGTGATATGTTACTTTTAAATAACAATATTTAGTATTCAGAGATAATTGGTGCTTAAATTTTATTATATCTGCATCTGCACAATGCATGTCCATGTCCAAAAGACTATAACTTCCCTGAGCCTAAAAAGAAACAAGATAAGAAAAGGAGAAAGGGAAAAGTCAAACAAATTACCCATGACTTTCACAATTTTGTACAAATTTAATCAACTCAAACTCCATGGTGTTGTTTATTGGGCAGTTGGGCTAGTGTTAAACTTTTAAGAAGACTTGTATATCAACTAACCTCAAAATAATATAACTTTGAAATGAAAATTCAAACCAAGGTGTCTTACCCTTGCCCTTAAAGTCTCAATATCAGCCTTCAAAATTCTATTGTCAACAGAAGATTCATCATATTTCTGATTCACGTCAGTGAGACTTTTCAGTAAAGTGGAGCGTTCAACTCTTAGCTGACCAACCTATATCCACATGAAGGGTCAAAAAATAATGAAAACTGAAAAATAATGCTTGAGAGCAGGAATGTAAAAAGATGGTGAATACCTGAGCTTCTAGGTCAGTCAAATGTGCTTGTTTTCTTCTTCTAGAACGTCTAGCTGATTCTCGATTTGACTTCATCCTGAATGTTGATTTATCTATTAATAATCATTTCTCCGTCATAAAATAGAAGTTGTACATCATAAAAATTTGTTGAACCACCAGATTCCAGACTCCAGAGACATAAGTGATTCCTACATTTCAGAAGATTTATCTTTCTGAAGTAAAAGTTCTCTCCATTTGGTCACCGTTTTCATTTTTGAATTACCTCTACTTAAATCTCACTCTTAAAAGTCCTCATAGCTAACATCTTACTTCCCTAAAATCACCCTTCCACTTCTATAAAATGTTTGTTAGAATTTCCCAGGCTGAGGACAGCACCTTTATCATTTAATATGTTGTGATCTAAAAGAAAAAAAAAAAAAGAAGTAAAAAATAAAAAAATAAAAAACCTTTAAAAGCATGTTTGGCCAGCATATGACTAAAATTATGATTAGGAACTAATATATCAATTATAAAAGTAATTAAAAACATGGATTTTCAGGGCATGCTCTCAGCTTAAAATTTTAAGTAGTTATGATTAACTATGAAGTATGCATAGTTTATCAGCCAAAAAACACATTTCTAAGATAAATATTTGATCATTATCAAAGCAACAAATGGTCCTTTGTAGCTGTTACATGCAACGAAAAGGTGGCATCTGTAAATTAGAGAAAAAGAAGAATGAAAAGAAGAAAACATGTATCCATGTATTCAAAGAAAATAAAGAAGCATAAAGCTGCCAAGTAGTATGAAACCATTAAAAAGACCAAAATGCAACACCTACCTCCTTTCACGTTTTGCATCGGCTGGATCCATGTCATTTGTTTCAGTGTCTCCATCAAGGTCTTCATCATCCGAATCTTCCCTTGATGACCCACTTGTTGCTTGTCTCACTTGTGTCCCTGATCTCTGTGTAACTGTTGGTGTTGAAATTCCAGATGCTGCAGGATCAGGTTCACCCTGTGCCTTTGAAAAACCTATAGTAGTTAAATAAATCAACATATTATTTGAATGTAAATGAATTATAAATAGCAGGGGAAAAATTAAAGCATCAGAAAGATCTAAAGTTTTTCATTTGTGAAATGGAAGGCTATTGATATACATGAGAACCTAGATATTAACATCATGAGGTAGAACCGTATAACCATGTAAAATTGGATGCAAATTATTTCAAAAACAAACAAGGAATGAAGTCACCCTTCTGCTCACCAAGCACTGGCCTCAGGCAGCTTTTCAGAATTCACTACACAGATGTTTTCGGATCACAACCTTCATTTCACTAAAGAAACAAACTGAAGTTTGAAACTACAAAAAAAAATTTTCAAATTTTGGGGGTTTAATCCCAACTCCCAAAGATTTAAAAGACAGATGCTCAGATTTTTCCACCTCCAACATCTTATAAGATTATAAAGAACCCAAATGAAACCATGATTTGTCATTCATCTGCAACCCAGTTTCCTCCCTGGAAATTGTGTTCACAAACTACAAACAAACAGGGTTAAAGGCCCTGAAAAAATAAAGCGAAGGGAGCTTTGAAAAAGTGTTGATTTTGACTATGGTGATAAACCAAACCATTCATGGGATCCTGGAGGTAAAAAAATATCACCATCATCTAATATAATATAATGCGCACACTTTGCATAACCTGAAAGCATCGATCCCTCTCTACACACCCGATAACCAGAAACACTTGTCAGTTGTTACTTATTATATATCTCCCCAAGGCCTAAAGCACACTGAAATTATAATCAGAAGGAAGAACACCTTCATCGTAAAAAATTGATGGCACATGATGTCCATTCAATTTGCCAAGGTCAAGAACCAGGGAATAAAAATAATTAGAAATAGAAGAACACTACACGACTAAAACCAAGAAAACAAGGCCATGAAAAATCTGCAATGCGCAATTAAGTTGCTCTATCAGATTAACAGGTCAAATTCCAATAGAACAAATCAACAAAATATAGACAAATTGCAAGGAAAAATCAGATACATAGAAACTCTCACCTTGAGCTTGGGACCCTGATTGATGTCGTTGATTGTCACTCAGGACAGACGAATCGTCAAACTCGGCACCTGACGCCTGCGTATCCAACTGCATATCAATACAAACAAAGAATTACCTATGTTTGCACGCATGTGCGAAAATAGAGATTGAAGGCAATACCCTAGAGAGAGCAAAAGCGCAGGCGAGATTGAGCTTGCTCTTGAGAACCTCCCGGTACTCATCACCCGGGTTAATTGAGACCGTCGCAGTGGGATCGGACGGTGGAGGACGGCGATAAAGATCCCTATTCTGAAAATTAGACTTTCCGATCTCCACTATATCACTATCATCATCGCCATCTTCAACTTTCGAACCAGACGGCTGAGACGCCGCCGCCACCGCAGCCGCCGCCGCCTCGGAATTCGGAGCAATCACATTTTGACCAGCACACGAAGTCGTTGGCAGACTCATATGAGAACATTCTTCCAGAAGCTTCTCCAACGCCAACACCGATTGGCTCGGGTTCATTCCCGTCGCCGTCTCCGCCGCCACTGCCGCCCAAAACGCGTCGGAGAAGTCGTCAACTGAGAACACACTGTTCATCGCGTTCGGGGAAACCCAACGAAGATCTGCAGATGTCAATCCAATGCCAGATACTTTTTATTGTTTTATGTCGGGGACCACGAATCAGCTGTTTCTCAATACACAGTACTCCCGGATTAATCATCTGCCACGTAGATGATACCCCTTCTAATGTTTACGTGTCAGTATTTTAATGGTGGAGATGGTACGCGGCGAGGTGTGGTGGCCCAACTATTTGGGTAGCGGAACAAAGGGAGGGAAGACGTGACGTGTACAATATAAAGAGACAAGTTAAAGTATAAAACGTGGGTCCACCGTCCACGTAAGCAAAGGACAATTTTGGATGCGAACAATGGGCCACCAAATTTAGAATAAATAATATTTTTGAACATCGAAAAATACCGGAAAAAGAAAAATTTTTTAAGTAATTGATGAAAGTGAAAATTTTAATTAATTGAATTTAAATATTAAAATTTGAGAACAAAATTATTAAAGTAAAGGGTTATTTAAATTTGAAAAATATATAATGGTACAATTTTAAAGAGAAATTTTAATTAAAGATATAATTTTTTTATTAATTAAATTTATTATTATTTTTAAAAAAATATGTAAGTAAAATGAATATATAAGATCATATTTTTAATTAAAATCTTTGAAATTTAATTGCTTTGGTTAGTAAAATTATAAAGATTATATTTATAATAAGAAATTTTAAGAGATGATAATTTTAATTGATAAAAAAATGTTATATTTGTAATTAAATTTAAAAAAATTAATTTGATTTAATCAATTATTAAAATAACTAATACTGGATAGAATAAAGAGTATTTATTATCTAATCTTAATACATTAATAATTTTTTAAAAAATATAGATTAAAAATATATTTTATTATAAATTTATATAAAAAAATGTTATATTTGTAATTAAATTTAAAA